CATGCATTTGACATTGCTAAAATGGGCCAAAATTCTTAAGAGTATCGAGTTGCATACATTCACAATTCACGCTTGCCTCATAGTTCCGTATCCCTTTGCAATACCTTTCACACCAACGCACACTGCAGCAATTCATGCAGTAATCTCATGCTCCCATTTGCCTATTCACTCATTTCTCTTGCTTACCTCCACTCTCACTCTATGCCGAATCTTCTCACTTCACTTATCCTTTCCGTTTCCATGCATCAGAACGCCTACAGTCCGTTGGATGCATTACGCATCATTCGGCTGCTGAGAATCGGGCGGGCTGCTCGTCGGCTCGACCAGTACATGGAGTATGTTTTCGCGCTGCTGTTACTTATGATCCTTTGCTTTTTCACATTGGCCCATTGGTTTGCCTGCGCCTGGTATCTGGTCGGAGTGACCGATCTCGAGCGACAGGTAGTTTTCGGATGGATTCCTCGGGCCTACAACGACTCTTTGGCCTCGCCCGACTGGTCGGTGGTTGCGTTGGCTCGTCACAGCCTACATGCGGGAGCTGGACACCACGCTCTGCTTGTGGCTGGCTCGACGCATTGGGTCACTGTCTCGGGAAAATCGAACAAATTCACCGTTGCCAGCGCAGCAAACGAAGACGCACAAGGTCAGGCTTCAATGTCGAATTGGCCGAAATTTGGGGATCGGCCTGACCCACTCAATTCTGACCAAGGCCTTCGCCTTGGCGCTGCGGCTCGTCTACTTCTTGACCAGCAGCAACAGCAGCAGCAACTCGAGGGCCAGAAGAATCGGCTAAAATTGGCAGGACATTTGCGGATTCGTGATGACCAGGCAATGGAACAAAAACAATTGCAGACGCTGCGGCAGCGGAGGCAGATACACCATCAAAATGAGGATAGGATGGATGTTGCTAGGGGCAATGAAGAAGACAGAAAGTTGGAGATGGCGAAGCTGGATGCCTGGGTGACGAGTGGCGATAAAGACGAGTTGGCCAACGCGGACGCGATGATTCGGCCAAGCCAGAGGGTGACGCAACTGCCCCTCCGATCACCAGGTTGTTGTCTACCAGACAATTTGAGGCCATTGCCTCTATCTGGGGCCAAGGAAAAGTGGTCAGCCTACCTTACCGCTCTTTACTTCAGCTTGTCCCTTCTCACAACCATTGGCTTCGGGAATGTGGCTGCCTTTACTGAGGCCGAGAAGTTGTTGTGCATCGGCTTCATGATGATTGGAGGTTAGTATGCTGGTCTACCATCTGCTGTTTATGCAAATTCATCTGAAAGTTTAAATGCATATTTTGGCGAAAACCTATTTGCTCTATTCGGTTAAATAAAATACCGATATTCAAATATGCGGAGTTTATTTTGGCCTGGAAATTCCCAAATGTATAATACTAAGTACTAATAGCATTAATAGAAGTTATATTAATAGTTATTATGATAAATGTAATAGTAATAATAATAATAATAATAATAATAATAATAATAATAATAATAATAATAATAATAATAATAATAATAATATTAATAATAATAATAATAACAATTATAATCATAATTATAATTATAATAACAGCAACAATAATAATAATAGTAATAAAAACAACAGCAATAATAATAATAATAATAGTAATAATAACAACAACAACAATAATAATAATAATACTAATAATAATAATAGTAATAATAATGATAATGATAATAATAATAATAACAATAATAGTAATAATAACAACAATAATAATAGTAATAATATTAGTAATAACCATAATAATAATAATAGTAATAATAATAGTAATAACAACAACAACAATAATAATAATAATGATAATAATAATAATAATAATAATGATACTC